CACTACAAAATATTTCTTAATTACCAATATTTAAACACTACATTAAATTTACTCAGTTATAATTTTTATTTTAATTTTACTTTAATTGTATTTGAACATTAATAAATTATACAACCAATTATATGTATAAATCTTAATCACATGGCGGCGACAAAGTCGCCATATCCAAAAATTTCTAGTTCATTAAATAATAATTTCTTATATATACAGATAACCTCTAACGACTATTTAGTTTCTAATGAGAATTTTGATATAATGAATATCAAGTAATTATTATAATATTTTATATATTATTTAATATAGTTATTAATGTAATTGATTGATTTCACTAATTATCTATATTTAAATAGTTCTAACAAAGAAAATAAATTTGAGTATTCAAACTATAATTCAAGTGTAGCCGAAAATTCTAAAAAACATTTTTTAAATGAATTATTGCAAGAAGAAAACATTGAAGATCAAAGTAATATTTTTAAATTTTATTTTAAAACAAATATTTATTATTAATATGTATTTTTCATATAAAACAGAATATTTTAAACGAACAAAAATGGCAGAATTTTTGTTGGATGTTTTGTAGATAATAACACGGAATAATTACTAATTGTATTTTAAATGCAAAGAATTACTTGATTTGCTTAAGCAAAATAAACCTTTTATATATCCACAAATAATATTTGTTGACGGAAATGGTACACTTCATCCAAGAAGATTTAGATTAGCACGTCATTTAGGAGTTTTGGCAAATATTCCTACCATAGGTATTGCTGAGATTTTTACATATTGATGATGGATATAATATGACTATACAAAAATTAAAGCTAAAGAATTATTAAAAAAAAAGAAATTATTATTTTCTCCAAGGAGATTCGGGAGTAATATGGAGAGCGGTGAGTATTATTTTATTTATTATCTTTTTATTGTTTTTATTATCATCGCTCACTTTATTATTGTTGTTTTATTTTATTAAATCATTTATTATTAATAAATTATTATTTTACTAAGTCTAGAATCCAATATATTTCAGTTGGACATCGGATATGTCTTGAGACAAAATTACGATTAGTATCAAAATGTTGTCATTATTGTATTCCTGAACCTACAGACAAGCTGATATTAGATCTCGAGAATTTATTAGAAAAATTTTCGCAATAATTTATAGAGATCATAGGAATGAATAAAATAATTTAATGATTTAACATTTCGAAATTATAAATATTTCTTTATTATTATTATTATTATACGAAGTCGTTTAAAACAAGAAAGTTCTTTCATCTCATGTGTAATTTCTACGAATGCTCCAGGATACTTGAATGCAAAAATCGTAGATCAGGTGACATACTCTTAACCAATCATAATTTATTTTTCGAAGAATTTAAAAAACAATAGTTTATTAAAACAAATACTTTTTGACCTCCAAGAAAAGTATTCAGCCCAAAATTTTAGATATATTTATGTTTTTTTAAAATATATTATTTAGTAAATAAAAGTTTAAGTCTAGTTAAGCTTATTATTTAGTAATTTAGTAAATGTCAACTCATCAAACCCGATCCTAACCCATCAATCCCACCCCCTACCTTGCGAAAACTCATTTTATTTCTTGCTTCATATGTTTAATAATGTTATTTTATTTTATTTTTCTTGTAGTTTGTATACTTTATGCTTAAAGAACAACTTTACTTATAATAAATTTTAAAGATAATCAACTTTTAACTACTAACATTAAAATATTTATCTTGCGATTTGATTGGTTAAAAAATCATATTTCGCTTCATAAATAAATTAATTGATGCAATTCAATAAATATGTTAATATTTCATTATTTTGTATTTACGTCATTACATTTTTTTTAAAAAAATTTTTATTTTGAAAAATTGGCTTGACTGGATCTATCTGCAGAAGATTCCAAATCAGTATTTTAACATTCGTTTGTAAAACTTTTTCAAGCGTTGACAAAACTATTTCAGGGTCTAGGGGATTTTTTTGCAGTTTGATCTCCTTGAGACATCTTTTTTTTTGTAGAACTTAGACTCGAATTCAATTACAAATAAAGTAATTAAATAAAAATAATAAAATGTGTTATAAATGTTCTTAAAAGGTCGAGAATGTTAAAATAAATAAATTTTATGCCCTAATTATTATTGTTATTATTATTAAATACTAAAACCAAAGGAATTTATTTATTTTTCGTAATAATAATTGTTTAATAATTAATTATTCTTACAGTGCGGTGCGGAACCTCTCTTGAAAAATCTTAAATAAGATTTGATCCAGTAATTATAATGATCGACTGATTGATAATATTGACCGACAATCTGTTACACGAAGCCGTTTTAGAATTTCTTTTCGCTACATTAAAGAAAAGTAGTCTCTAAAATTAGCAAATTTTTTATGTTTGAAAATTGGCTATATTTGGATATCTTATTTTTGGTTTTTATAATGAAAAAATGGTGCCATACATTTCATGCATCCAGAGTGGTGTCGAAATTCAAAAAAAGGAAATATTAACAATAAATAATTAAATGTGGAATTGGGTTAGAGTTAGGGTTAGGTATTATTTATATTTGTGTATATTTTCTGCCAATGTAGAAAATACTGCCAATGGTTTTATCAGGAAAGCTATTTTATATTTTAATTCGTGATCTTGGTTATCAATCAATGGGAAATTTTTTTAAAAGCCCATTTTTTGATGAGGTAACTAAATTCATACTATTATCACTAAAAATTATTTGCTCAATAAAAGTAAAAAAAAATAAAAAAAAAAAAAACAAGTTTCCTTAGCGGCAACTGTAGATTCCTGTATTTTATATATTATTCACTGATTGGTATAGATTTGATTCTACAAAATTTTGTTTTATTTGTAAACAGTAGTTAACAAAATCCTCAGTTACTACACACCTCGTGTTTTTTTCGTATGTGAGTATACTTTTTAAAACATGCCTATTATCCAAAAGATATAAATGTCCATTAAAATTTTCGTCCTTGCTTTTTACGAAATTCATGAAATTTTAATCAAATATTATTTCAAACACTCAAATGTATTCCAAACACAATAGTTTATTTATTTTTTTAATATTTTTAGTTTTGCTAATCAATCGTAGTTCTGAAGATGTATTTGCTATAAAATATAATAATGACAAACATTACAAACATTGTATCGGTGACAAAATTGGGACTATTACTAGTAAGCATTTTATAGTGTAAAAGTTTCATAATATTAAGACTAATTTATTCTCTATCGTATATGCAGAGGAACCTAAAGATATCAAGATCCCAGAAGAAATTCAAGTGCCTAGTACTTTTGAATTTAAATTTTTATTATATACTATTGGAACAGTCGAATACACTTGTACTAAATTAGATAACGTGAATTATTGGAATACAAGTAAGTGATATTAATCTGGATTCTTAATTCTCATGCCAACATTTTTTTCATGCTCACCATATTTATTATATAGCAAATTATGACGCATTTTTGACAAACGATATTCCTATCGAATTTAGCCCTGAATGTTTTGTTGCACGCCATTACTTTTCATATCCACGTATGTATCTTTTGTGTTGGTTTCTGTGAAATATAATTACTTTCGTTATTAATTTTTCCTTATAGCATTTATGGGTGGAAGGGGTCTTTTTGAGTCAATAGTTCCAGGAGATACTTCTTTTACGTGGACATCGCTAGATGTGACTATCTCATCACCTGATGGTCGCAAAAACCTCCCTCGGGCTCGGGTTCTATCTCGTGTATGTTAACTTTAAAATTAAGGTGTTATATTATGATTTATTTATTAACAAATACTGTAAAAAATTTCAATAGGCATCCAAAGGTCAAGGTGCGCTTGTTGATATCACATATTCGCTTAGAGTCGCTACTGTTGGAGGCATCCCTCCTCCAAATAGCACATGTATGTTTTTTTGTTTATATCATTTTCAAGTATATATATATATCTATATATCTATATATCTATATCAATTTTCTTATATCTTTAATGAATAGGCGGTACAAATTATGAGGAAGGTGATACTGTTCATATCCGATATACCGCAGAGAATTGGTTCTATCATCAAAAAGCAAAGAAATTAAAGGGCAAAAAAATTACATAATAATTTATTAACCATAATTCAATAGAGACCATTAAAGAGAATACCTTAAATATATTTTACGCATACTGAAAATTCTTCATATTTGCATATCGCAACCAAGAGGATCAGAGAATGAAGGGAAATATTTAAAATCAAACGATATTGTATCACTTTAAAATCATGGATTTTTTTATTATAATTGTAAAGTAAATGATAACTTGACCATTTATCAGTAAAACAATGACTACCAAATAATATAGAATGCTCAAACGTATCTTATTCTTTTTGAGTAAATATAGTTCAATCCCATCTCTACAATGAGATTACCTCTGCAAATTATTTATAACAAGGGTATCTAAAAATGCCACATTTTGAATTCCTTATCATCACATAATGTTACAACATAATCGCAACATTTTGATTATAAAAATATAGTATTGATATCCTATGACTTTTAAAAGAAGGCCAGGTGAATATTAACAAGACTTATATACATCCTAATTTCGGCTATCTTTAACTTTATATTTTAGCTCATGTACGGTCGATGTAATAAATTTTGCAATTATGACACTTGTATCATCTTTGTGCCAAATGATTTTCTCGCAATATCTAGGAAAGTTAATTTATATTTCATCATTTCCCTATGAGAAAATTGTCTAGAATTTAATTAACACTGCTCAGGAATTCAACATCAATTATTCTTTAAAACTAATTCCCTAATTCCGCTGACGTTCTGTATCACATTAAGGTTTCACAAATTAATTTTTTCATAACCTTATTTTTTTGTTATGACAACCAGGTGGCCAAGCATCGTGATCTGAGTGTTAATAAGCATTTGTTATAATATTAATTATTTGTTATGAAGTATGATTTTTTCTACTGAATTATCAATTCTTAATTTGTAATTTATCAAGTTAAAATTTCTTTTAATTTTCTGTGAGAGATGAATCATTTCTAATCACATTTTTTTTTTTTTTTGAAATTCTTCTTGTTTATGAATATTGAAGTCTGTAGATAAGTATACTTTATCCAAACACTGATCTAATTTATCATTCCAAACAATTTTTTGAGTAGCCATTTCCTATTTCATTCAAATTCAAATTTAATATAATTGAAATGAAGAAATACATAATTAATTAAATTATAATTTATTGTTTGATAATTTAACTGACAAATAAATATAATATAAATTACTGTGGGGTTTTTATTATTATTTATTATTTAAAATTTATTATGTATATCTAATTTGCGTAGAAAGTTAATGAAGTTAAAATAATGTACTAAGCAATATTATATTTAACCTATTTATATAGTATTTTAATCACGAATATAATGTTTTACCAATTTAGTTTTAGTAGACACAATAACTCATTTATAAATTAAACATAAGTTATTAAACGACACGAATAACCTATCCTATTAAAATTTACGGATGGAGGGCTTTGGGATATTTGGTTTTTTTGGTCCTTGTACTTTAAATTTGGTCACTTGAAACACGAAATGAATAAAAACATTTATCAAATTAAGCATTTAAAACTTGATTTTATTCATAATTGATGATTCATTAACGAATTAATATGGTAAGATATAATAGAATTAAAAAATCATAATATCATCAAGAAACGTATAGGAACATAATATCCTTTCGCTTATTGTTAATTATTATTGTTTTTAAAGCCAAAATACAAATAATTTAATTTTTAATTATCTCAGCAGATTAAATGTATTTCTACTAAACCTCGAATTAAATTAAAGTTTCGTTTATTGTGTTATGAAAGCGAAATATCAATAAATTTGATATAAAAATTGGAAATTCTTAACCGATTAAAGGAGCCAATTTTCTCGAAAAAGTACATCTTTTTAAAATGTATATTACTCAAACGTATTTTACTTCATTATGAAAAAATGGACTTGTAACGATATCTCCACAGATTCAATCAAAATCTCAATTTAATAATAGGATCATCATATGGAAGAACGGACTCAAACAATGGTGGTATTTTTAATAACATTCTTTATTCCAAGAACTTGATCTATTATGACGTTTGTCAATTATTGTTTAGGGTGATAATATTGATTAAAGTACCAAAAAAATTGGTACGTATCTGATCGAATAATATCTTCCGATTGTTCAACAAATTTGTGTGATAATTCAAATAGTAAAATGAAATGTACAATTGTCCGGTTCTGAAAATGAATGACAAATATAATAAATTTTAAATAATATTATTTTTTGTATTGTCATTATAAATAGTTTTTTCTTATCACTAAATTCTAAGTAATTTTTAGCCAAGAGATAGCAATGAATGAACCCGAAAGTAAATAAAGGAAAATAAATAATTAATATAATTAATGAATAGAATTTAATAACTAATTATTATTTGTTTTTTTAGTCGAAGAAAATTGGAATTCATTCTAAGAAATTAAATGAAATCTTAACTCATTCTAAAATGACTCAAACTGCTGCAAATACAAATAAAGATCATGCTGACCAGGCCTTAGAAAATTTAATTTTTATCACTATTATTTATTTATTGAATAAATTTATATTTTATCATAATTTGACAGATAAGTAATGTTGATAAATCTTTACCTAAAGTGCCGTTGCTAAAAGATCAATACAAAATTAAAAAAAAAATATTTTATAGATACTTTTCTCAAGAATTTCCAATTAAATTTGCAGTAAAATTTAATATTATAATTCTTAAGGAACGTTTATTGAAACAACATAACCATTATTTATTTATTATTTCGATTTTGTACACTAATCAATTAACTTTGTTTTCTTTGATGTAATATGTCGATTTTCTTTATGGAATTTGGAAAGAAGTTCACTATCTCAAAGTTACACATTTATCGATACAAATTTGCAAGTTCAAAGTTCAAATAAATGAACCAAAACAATATGGAAAAAAAGAAAAATTATGTTTGATTCACAATTATGTAGACGATATTTTGCCATGAACTTTATAATTATAATCAGTGGCAATATAAACATCTATAATTTCGACGAGATAACCGTTTTTAGAATGCGTTCCTTTTGAAGATGTAAAGAAAATTGATCAAAGGTCGGTTCAGTTAAATATATAAAGTAACTTGGGAAATTAATAATGGTATATGTATAAACGGTATATAATGTATTAACAGTAGCGAAAAGTGAATTTGTTTAAAATAATTCAAATAATTCATTAAATATTCATTATTATTTTAGTTCAGGACTTTTGATGGCTTTTAACTTATACAATGCATCAAAAGAAGGCTCGCATGATTTTATATATAGTAAAAATCATGTAATTTTTTTCTTCTGCAACACTTATATCTCTTATTTCGGTTTCTCCAGTGACGGAATAACAATCACATTATCTAATGAAAATTCTAATTTTTGAAATATAATCATCACCACCACGATATTTATTTTTATCTTTATTAACCAATTCACCTCATAATTATATTTCTGCTTCATCATTTAAAGAAAAAGAATCAGAGATTTAAAATTAATAATGAATATCATTATTACTATATATTACTAAAACGCGATACAGTATATTAGAAAACGGAAATGGGGAAGTTGGGTTTTGAAAAAATATTTTTAAGCGCGCGATCCTTAATATATTTTATATTAAGTTCGTCACCAAAAACCTATATATAAACCTTGTAACAACAGTAAATTTGATATTAAAGAGCGACTAGTCAGAAAAAGTTTAAGCATGATAAATAGCTTAATTCATACGGAAGATTGAAAAAATAATTATAATAATAATAAAAATTATTATTAAAAATGGATCATATCACATTTCCATGTACCACGATCATTAAATTTGATTTTCAAATCTTGTGAATTATTTTTACCGGTTACTATTATTTGCATTTGATATAATTATTACAATTTGTCATTCATATCTATATCATCACCATACCATGATGAATGTAGAATACGATGAAAATCCTTCTCAAGCACAAAAGGATATTTGGGCAAGGTGGTGAATTAAATTTATCAAAAAAAAAATTCCCCATAATTTCTAAAATTTATTTCTAAAATTTATTTCTAAAATTTATTTCTAAACTTCATTTCTAAAATTCATTTCTAAATTTATTTTACAATTTAAATTTTATTTTTTAAAATAGGGAACAATCAGAATTAAAATTAAAATTAATTGAAGTTGACGACTTAAGTTTTACGAGTCATGAAAAAGATGGGAAAATAGAATTTCAAGGTCTATGTTATATCGGAGGAGTAGATGTTAGTTTTCTTGAAAATAACAATCAAGAAGCTGTAGCATCTTTGGTTGTTTTAGAATATCCTAGTTTAGAAGTAAGCATTATCTTTAATAAATTTATTAAAAAATAATCAGTTTTTAAACAACAAGTTAACAATTATATGTGTATTTATTAAAGGTAATTTATGAAGATTTTAAAATGATCAAATTAAAACTTCCATATATTGCTGGATATTTAGCATTTCGAGAAGTTGACCCTTTACTTGAATTACTTGATTTGCTTAAACAAAATAAACCTTTTATATATCCACAAATAATATTTGTTGACGGAAATGGTACACTACATCCAAGAAGATTTGGATTAGCATGTCATTTAGGAGTTTTGGCAAATATTCCTACCATAGGTATTGCTAAGAATTTTTTACATATTGATGATGGATATAATATGACTATGGCTTATACAAAAATTAAAGCTAAAGAATTATTAAAAAAAGGAGGAGATTATTATTTTCTCCAAGGAGATTCGGGAGTAATATGGGGAGCAGTGAGTATTATTTTATTTATTATCTTTTTATTATCTTTCACTCACTTTATTGTTGTTGTTTTATTTTATTAATCATTTTATTATTAATAAATTATTATTTTACTAAGGCTGTACGAAGTCTAGAAAGTACTACCAATCCAATATATGTTTCAGTTGGACATCGCATATGCCTTGAGACAACATTACGATTAGTATCAAAATGTTGTCATTATCGTATCCCTGAACCTACAAGACAAGCTGATATTAGATCTCGAGAATTTATTAGAAAAAATTTTCCCAATAATTCTTGACAATTTTGCTAAAATGTTTTAGGCAAGTTATAGAGATTATAGGAATGAATAAAATAATTTAATGATTTAACATTTCTAAATTATAAATAATTCTTTATTATTATTATTATTATTATAAGTTATTTCTCAAGAAAATATATTAATACAAAGATAAAAATTTATAAAAAATCATCTGAGATATTTTTATTTATTTTTTATTTTTATTTTTTTGATAATAAAAATTAAATATGCATTTTTGATATGAAAATGAAAGATATGTCTAATGATTAATGATGATTTGATATTATTATTTAATCCTCTATTTGTGATAAATATTGTATCTAATAAAATTGTAATAAATCATAATGTGAAATTATCTAATAAAAATCAAAGTATTTGAAAAAAAATTCCGGACATTATTAGACATTATCAATAAATATTCCTGAAATCAATGTTCCTACAACAACCCACACAACTAAACCAGTAACAAAATATCTTATACCATTTTCAATCTGTTTTCTTCTTTTATTTTTTTTACTATTTGTTATGGCAGTTTCTCTTAGATCTTGATCAGTTCCAAAGATCCATAGCAATAATGCTGTCAAGGCATGTTGTCCATCTAACTGAAATGCTGGCAATATATTAAGAACACATAATGCTAATGAAAATGATATGGTATATCTAAGATTCAAATATACACAAACATTATTATGAACATTAATGTTAAATATTGAATTGATAGAATTGATGAATATTGAAAAAAAAACTTTACCTTAATATTAACTCTAAAGATTCAGGAATCCATAAAGGTACCCACGACCATCTTGGTTGTAGAATACTAACTTGTACTTTTTAAAATCAAAAAATATAAAGTGTCAGTGTCAAAACAACAAGTTTTTTTTTTTCAAAGAAATGTAAGAATTCAAGAAATAATCACAGATAAATAATTATACCAATTTCCCAAACATCTTGTAATTTTCCAAGAAATAATAAAACATTTTCTTGTTCATTTTCAGACCATGGAACATCTTTATAATAAATTCTAAGTGATTTTGGAAATCTTGGCGGGGAGTAAGGTAATACACATAATGGTGATTTTACATTACAATCATCATCCTTAATACATCGTTGTTCATTAACATTTACAAGAATAGGTATTGTTGGTAGACAAACCAATATCTAAAGTAAATAATATATATAATATTATAATAAAATTATTATTAGCATTAAATAAACAATTTTACTTATATACGTAAAAGGTATTGAAATGTTTTAAGAAATCAAACCTTCTGTTGCGAGTTATTGTTGGAATTATTTTGAAATTCATATGGTTGTGTTGTTATTCGTTTAAAACAAGAAACAGACGAATCTTCTGCTTTCCCATAAGGATGATCATCAGTAATTTCACAGCAATCCGTTGAAGATGATATATCATTTTCCGAAGCACAAAATCCAATATGATGACTAATGTTTAATTTATTATTTTCCAATAAATAATTATTCCAATTATCTAAAGAATTATTCAAAACAAAATCATCCAATTTTGTTATGACCATTGATGGTTTTATATGATCAAATAAAGGTGTATTCTAAATGTGAATAGGGTAATATGAATAGAAAATTTTATAAAATTTATAAAAATAATTTGAATCATTTAAATTATTAAAAATTATTCATTTGGAATACTTACTTTTTCTACAGAAATTACGCTAACTCCCATATTATCAACTGATCTCCACAAAGTAAGACTTAAAAAAGATGTAAATAATCCAGTGTTAAGTATAAAATAACCCAATAAAAATATTATTAAATTATGCCAAACTCCAGCGCATAAAATACGAAGTTGTTTAAAACAAGGAAGTTCTTTCATTTCATGTGTGCTAATTTCTACGAATGCTCCAGGATATATAATGTATAGAAATATTCCGGTATACTTTATTTCTATTCGTTCCCTAATAATTATAATTCATTAAATATTTAATATATTTTGATTTTTAACATACATGCGATATATATGCATGTCATTAATGATACAAAAACAATCTTATACTTTGCAGCGGCAATGGCGTGACCCATTTCATGAATCACTCCACAAATTAACAGCGCGATTAAGTAATATGCAAAATGAGACATCGGTAAAGTGACGCCAGGAATCTAAATATTATAATTTAGCATTCAAGTCAATTCAAAATGTTTAAATTTAATTCCATAAGGATTAAAAAAATGATTAAAAAATAATTAAAAAAAATTTTTCTTTTACTTGCCACAGGAACAAATACTTGATGATTATCATAATCATCTTTTTCTTTGGGATTTTCATCGATAAAATTTCTTTTCACAAAATTATTCAAGTTGATGGGGGTGGTAGCCGGAAACGAATTTGATTCAACTTTCCAAATAATTGCAAGAAATCCTGTTACTAATTTCCAACTCGCCATAATCATTACACCAATACCAATTATCATGGTTAATATTCCAACAAAAGCTCCAATGCTAAACCATAATTTCCAGAAATTAGGTGCTCGATTGGCAAGTGATTTAAAATATGGATTTAATATATTCGTAGTAAATCGTACGTTAAAGGGTTGATTTGAAATATGAATTTCTGGAAGAGTTGTTTGACGACCTGAGGTTGGTAAAAAAGATCTATTTGTTGTAGTTCGAAAAAAACTATTCGTAAATGTTTTCTATATGAAAAAATAATTAATTTTTATTATTATTAAATTATTTCATTTCGAAGTGAAATAAAGAAAATGATAAGAAATGTTACCTTCGAATGAAACTTTTGTTGAATAAAATGACAAAATGCGTGAACCACTACCCAAAAACCAAGAAAAGTTAATAGCATGTCTTGAATGTGATTTTATTGTAAAAAAAAAAAAAGCCTTTTATATTTTTTTATTGATAACACGTGGTTCAATAAATAAATTGGCGATCGATACCAAAAATTGTATTATTGGTGATGATGATGATCAACCTGTTTCTCGTTGATCTAATTGTGGATTTTTTTTTTTATTAAACGTTATTTGATAGAATACAATATTTGTAGAAAAAGTGTCTTATACGCAAAACCATCATTATACAGTGTGGGACAAAAAAAATGTGAATCAAAAAATCGATCATCAATGCTCAATTATTATAATAAATCATGTGAAATTTTAATGCCGAAGATCGGCTAACTTTATTAATGATATTCGTTCGCCATTATTTTCAATAATTAATGGCTCATTGAGTTTACAAGATTAATTAGAACCGTTTGGGGAATATTTTGCCATTCCTCCATTATAAATCTTTCCAAATCATTTAGATTACAATTGCCCAAAGGTTTTCAATGGGGTTTAAATCCGGACTATTTGATGGCCACTCTAAAACCTTTGGGAAATTTTCTTGAAAGGCCTTGGCCATACGACTTGTATGCTTTGGGTCGTTGTCTTGCTGGAAGTGAAAATTATTACCAAGCATCTGGGTGATCTCAGGGTTATGTGTACGAAGAATTTCCACATAGAATTCAGCATTCATAATTTGTTTAAAACAAAATAAACTCGTTTTTCCTTTTATGCAAAAACTATCCCACCATGATTTTTTGTACGATCTTTAAGCATACAACGAACTGGTCTTTCCTCTTTATACCAATATTCTACAGTGTTTCTAAAAAGTCGGAAAGCAGTTTCGTCAGTAAATATCGTTTTATTCCATCGATCATTAATGTTTTTGTTTGTGTGCTTCAGTTAATATAGGGGTTGCTTTGGGAAGTTTTTTTAAATATCCAATACTTGCAAGGTGCCTTCCAATATTCTATAAGATACTTCTATATTCATATTTTCTAATTTTATTGCCAAAGTTCTTGTAGAAAGAGATGTGTCATGCTTTATGTATTGACCAAGCGCCCAGGAAGCATTTTTTTGGGTCAACCGTTCCCTCCAACATGCTTTAATGAACCTTTTTTTTATTTTTTTTATGTTTCTATAAATTGTAGGTATTGGGATATTTGTAAGTTTATGTAATTCTTTGGCATTATGTATACCGTTGTTCCACAAATGTATTAAAGTATCGTTGCTATTTTTTTTTTCGTTGGCCAACGTATAATAACTATTATATGTTTAAGTAGTACGAATCTGATTTATTTTTAGTGAAGAAAATCATTTTTTGTCATGTGCCAAATTTCTCATTTTTTTTTGTATGTAAATGTTGAAATATTAGCCAATCAAATTTAGAAATTAAATCAAAGAAAGTTGATTTTCATATTTCAGTATTTAACATAATAACAGATTCAGTGATCACCATCTTATCTAATTATACAGAACGATTGATATCTTTATTAAAGTAGAGTAAAGAAATAGCATTGTGAGTATAAATGAGTATGAATCTATCAATTGAAATCAAAATGTTTTTCAAATAGAGAAATATATGAAAATATCGGTTAGAAATAAACAGAAATATTACTGCATATAGAAATTTTAAAAAAATCTTAGAGTTATTACTCGTTGGTGACGATCATCATCATTCGTTTAAAAAAAAGGAATAATAATAATACAAATCTAACCTTAAGCAATGCATAACTTATAACAGATAAAACAAAATAACATATATTTTTATTCTCTGTAATCCTCCTTTTTAATGGCATTTATCATGGCAGAGCAGATAGTTATGACAAAATAATTTCAATTTTGATCAATATCAATATTATAATTGATCAGATATGTATGCAAAAAAAAAAAAAATCCTCATTGTTTAATTTTATAATTTAATTTAATTAAAATTTAACTTAATTAATTATCTGTTAATTTAATTATTATTAATTAACCAATCGAATACATATATTTTTTTTGTTTTGATCAGATCCCCGAAGTCGCGTCTTCGCGTTTTTCGTACTTTCTATTTCTTCTATTTTCTCTAAAGGTATGTGCTGTCATAAAGTTAAGACCTATTTTTTTTTTTATAGAAGTCTATCCAACTTTTAAAAACAAATCGCCTTCCATCATATTTGAATAAATGTTATAAAATTAATATTAAAAAAAAAAAGTTTATTTGTATATTATTATTATCTAATATAAAAATAAAATAATAAAAATCAGATTTAAAATTTTCGAAATGTCCAATATTCCAAAGAATCCCGTTCAACCAGAAACTACTTCTAAAAGTTCTACTTCATTCAATCCAATCAGAAACATCATTTTACGAACATATTATCCTAATATTCAAACTTTATATGAATACTTATCAATTCAATGTGGCGGTGAAAAGATTAAATTAATTTGTAAAGATGATAATAGTGAATATAAAACTTTTTTGGAAACTTCAGCAATTAGTATTACAACGGATGAAATATTTCCAAAAAATACTTTGGGTATAATCAGAAACAATAATAAATTTGAATATGTAATTATTTTTTTTTTATTGATTTTGATTTTAAGAATGTTGTTATTTGTTTGTAACAAAATTTTTTTGATTATTATCATAACCAAATTATTTAATATTGGTTTAATAAATGTTGTATTATTAAAATTTAATATTTAAAGGTGTTGGATTCTGTGATTAAGTATTTGGTAGCAAGATTTGATTCGCGAACTTCTATATCAAATGTATTGACACTTGGGTTCACGAAGGTAATTAAAGATTATAAAAATTGTTGACGTATTCCGAAAAAAAAAATTATATAAACAAATTTGATAAAATTTAAAAAAATAATTTGAATAATTTAAAAATCGAAGCCACGAACAAATTCAAATCCCAAAGGATTCAGTATACAATATGATAATTCCACAACAGATCATATTAGACGTTCTCCAGTTTGGAATGAATTATTTCAACGGTATTTAATATTTGAATTAAAATAAAATAAAAATAATATGAATTATCATGCCAACTTTTGAAATTTTTCTTCCAATCTTTCACAACCTAATTTGAAACTTTTTATAATAGACTTGGGGAAGACGTAATGGAATATATATTAAGAAATGCTTCAATATTTATCGCACTTAATCATAAATCATATATTCAAATTTTAGGCAAGTTGATCGAGAAATATTTTTTATTATAAAAACAAATACTACTGAAGAAAGTAAATGATAATAATACATAATATATTAAACATTCATTTAGGGACAGTTATAAGTGAATTGTCTGCAATTAACTTAATGAATCAAGCATTGTCCACTACCGCAAAATCTCCTTTTACTTTACGCATGCCATCAACCTCATCAGCTGTCGCCCAATCATCAAATGCATTAATTCAGTCAGAACAAAATTCTAAGATGGAAGATATTGAATTACTCAATAAAGAAGATTCCCAAATATCTCAAGAAGATTTATCCTTTGAGCAGCAAGATAAAAATTTATCACAAGATAATTCCACTTGGTTCACTTCTTCACAAGAAACCATTTGCGAAATTGTAGAAGATCCCATTCTTCCTGATCCAAATTTAAAGAGACCTTTTGAACATTTAGAATCTCAAGATAATTTACAGAATAAAGCAATTAAAATAAAAAACGGAGAAAAAGCCAAAATTACATCTCGTTCTAACATTTTCTTTGGTCGTCATAATATGTTCTTTTATAATTCGGGTTATAACTCTAACTGCGATTTCTGGTTTGGACTACCGAAAAATCGTAAGTAATTTATAAATATTTCTTGATATTAAAAATTGGAAATGGTATAATAACATTTTTATGGTTATTTTTTGTATTAGATATTCTTAATGTTGTAAAATCTTCAAAGGGTCCAAATATTCTAGACCTTGTAGCCTGTCACATTTTCCCCCGACAATTTGGACTCTGTAACGTGTTTGATAACCCACAAACAGATTCACACAAATTATTTAAATTGTATATGTACAGGTCGAATGAAATTGAGGTGAGTTTTAACTCTCTCTCTCCATTTATTGTTTCAACTTCATTTAATCTTTTTGTTCTCTTTAATTCTCTTTTTAGGAATCAAAGTTACAAGTACCTTCTCGTTTGAAAAAGTTGTTCCCATTGTTAAACAAATTGATACACCAGCATAAGAGATGCCGTTATGATGTATTACTCAATAGATTTTGTCCTAAGAAGGTAAATATTAAAGTTTTCAAATAAGGAATGAAATATTAGTTTAAATGAATTATTTAATTTAATAAATTTTCAAATTAAATTTTTATTTGAAAGTGTGACCCATTGACTGAAACTGACTTTTCGAGCAACGCACATCAGGTATACATATATTTTTTTTTTATTAAGATGCAATATAATTTAAATTTTCTATTACACAAAAAAATAGGTATTTGCTTTTGTCAAAGAAGCAATCCGGCAAGTAATACCTTGTGAATTTTGGGAATGTGAAAATCAAAAAATAATTCATAAAGGTTAGAATTTTTTTTTCTTTCCTTAAAAGTTTCGCATATATTTTAACTAATTATATTTAATTATATTCAATTTATTTATACGTGTGTAAATGATTGATTATAAAGCCATTGAAAAATTTATTTTGCTTCGACAACACGAAATGTTTTCATTACACGAAGCAATGGATAAATTTCAAGTACGTGACTTGTTTATTGCTTTTTCAATTATTATTTTTTTTATTCGAATTAAATTCATTAAACGTGTTATATCGAACATGACATGTTTTTTTTTGTTTAGATTAAGAAATGTAAATGGCTTGAAATGGAAGGTGTCAAAAATAACAAGGTCGAAGCTGATAAACGAGTCGAGATCTTGAATGAATTTATTTGGTGGCTTTTTGAAAGCTTCGTGATTCCTCTTTTAAGGGTAATTGATTGAAAACCATTTACGTTTTTATAATGACAAATTATAAAAATTCATTTATTTTTCTTTCATTTTATTTAAAACTTTAGTCCAGTTTTTATATTACTACAAACGCAACCTTTAAATACCGGGTATTTTATTATCGACACGATATCTGGTATCAGGTTGTGCAAAAGGGTATAAATTCCCTTACAAAAAATATATTTAAAGAAATACCAGTGGTAAGTCGTTATTATATACAATATGATATGCATAATATTCTATAAACAATATACTATAATATTCTATATAAACTCTATTTGATATTTAAAGGAAAATGAAGAGGAATTACAAAACGGAACACTTGGTTATTCGACTATTCGTTTGCTTCCGAAGGATAATGAAGGAGCGGTCCGACCTATCAACAATTTAAAGAGACCAATCCGAAATCAAGTTATCCACACAAAAGTTTATTATTACTATGATTATTATTTTACTATTTTTTTTTATTACTTGACTAAATTTGATTTTTTTTCAAAACTTTTAATATAGACGAATAGACGAACAAACCAATCCGTTAATACCATTTTAAAGGATACATTCCATATTTTAAATTTTGAAAAGGTTAATATTTTTGAATTTAATAATTTTTTAATATTATTCATATTAACAATAAAAAATATTACAAATATTACTTATTTAGGAAAAACAGGCAATGAACCGTTTTTCCTCTCTCCTCGGAGGCTCTATGTTCAGTTTAAATGAAATTTATAAGAGCCTAAAAGAATATCAACGAATATTGAGGCATCATACGTATATATTGATTATTTATTTATTATATATTAATTATATATTAATTATAATATATTTATTATATACATACATATTTATTTATTTTATTATTACCAGGAAATTGTATTTTGCTAAAGTTGATGTCAGATGTTGTTTTGAGTCTATCGATCAAAACAGAATGTTGGATATCATGAATGATGTCCTCAACGAAGTCAGTAAACGTTTGTTATTATATTTTTTTTTCTTTAGAAATGGTTTTCTAATGCGTACTACTTTTTTTAGGATGATTATGCCTTGCACAAATATGATGTGGTTAAATGCGAAGGAAATGTAATTCGCACAAGGCACAATCGTTATGCCACATCAACTGGTATTTTATTATTTTATATTGTTTATAATATTTATAATTTATATTGTATTTATTTAATTTTTTTTTTCTTTTGAAGATGATTTTGCCAATTTCATGGCTTACGCAAAAGAATTATCGCGTAAATTTATGAATGGCATTATTGTAGACCGAGTAAAAGAAACTTATATTGATAAGAAAGATGTACTTGGTCTATTAGAAGAACATCTTAAAAATAATTTAATTAAAGTATTATTTAATTTCGATTTTTTTTTTTTTGTAATTTTATAATGTTTATAATTTAATTTTTTTTAATCATTTATTTCTATGTATTTTTATTTATATCCAATAAGATTGGGAACAAATTTTATAAACAAGCAATCGGTATTCCACAAGGATCGGTCGTATCAACGCTACTTTGCAGGTAATTTATATTTATAATGTAACCGTTTTTTTCTAATATATTATTTATATACTGTTTATTCTAATGCATTGTTTATATATTGTTTATATATTGTTTATTATTAGTTTTTATTATGGCGCTATGGAATGGAATGAACTTCCGTGGGTGAAGAATAATGATGGAGTAAGTTTTTAAATATATTTATTTATTAATGTATTCATTTATACATAAAAATATATAAAATACGTATTAGATCATGCTTCGCTTTCTCGATGACTTCCTGTACGTAAGCATCAATAAGGAAAAAGTTGTGAAATTTATAACTGCAATGCATAAAGGTAATTTTGTTACTTATATATTATAAAGTTATATTAATTTTGTACTTTATATTATTTATTTATTTTTTTTTATAGGTCATCCGAAATACGGATGCTTTATTAATGATAAAAAAAGTTTAGTGAATTTTGATCTGAAAATTGATGACACGTTTGTTACAAAGTTAGAAGGCAGTCTCGGTATAATATAATCTTTTATTGTAATTTATTATAAATTTTTTTTAATCTTTTTCTTAACTAACAATAAATAAATTTTTTAGAGTTTCCTTGGTGTGGTCTTTTAATTCACACCAAAACACTTAATTGCAAGGCCGATTATCAGCGATATGGTAATTCTCGTAAGTATTCTTTAAAAACAGGTTAATTGCAATTTTGATTATATTAAAATTTCTGAAAATTAAATAAATTAAATATTTAGTCATCGCAGATTCCTTGACAATTAAGACAGCAAAGAACCCTGGAGAATTGTTAAAAAATAAGATGATAGAGTAATGTTTGAATTAATTTTATTACGTGAATTTATTTTTGTTTAAAAATAAAAAATAATAAAAATGTTAGAAAAAGAATTATTTTTTTTTTTTTTATTTTTTAATATTGAATAGAATTGTTACTTCTAAGTGTCATCCTATATATAATGACACCTCGTTTAATTCCAGGGCAACAGTACTTCTTAATATATACCAGAATTTCTTGATCACAGCCATGAAGTTTCATTATTACGTCAAAGGTCTTCCACATCGGGGAATCCAAAGGAATGAAACTTTTGAATGGGGTAAGGTTTTATTATATGATATTTGTGTTTTCTTTTTTTTTTTTTAAAAAAAAAAAAAATATATATATATATTATTTTCATTTCTTTAGCTGTTGTTAAAAAAACCTTTGAAAGTACATATAAGGTGATACAAAGTAAATCCCAAACACAGAAAATTGATATTCAAAGTTCTGAAATTAGATGGTACGTCGTTTTAAAATTTTTTAATTCTTATTTTTTTATATCTTTGCTCACATTTTTTTTATCTAATATATATAATATATATATATATTACAGGTTAGGAGCTCATGCCTTCAAATGCATACTAATCAAAAAACGATCATACCACCAGGATCTAATTGAACATCTTACGGAACTTTGTAACACCCCATTGCAAAAAAATATGATGTTACAATCGGTGGTTGATTGGAATCGTTCAAAAGTGTTTGATGATTTACTTTTTTAAATTCTGGTATTTAATTTTAACGCGTTGACATTACCGATTGCTTGTTTATTGTTATTTATTATTTATTATTATTATTATTTATTTATTATTATTTTTTTTTTATTTAATTTTTATTTTATTTTATTTATTATATTATTTATTTTTATTTTATTTTATTTATTGTTATTTAGTCTTATTTGTTTTATCATGTAATATCCTTCAGTCATGACTCTGATAACATCTAAATATGCTAATGATGCTTTCTTATAAATTATTATAAGATTTTGATTATCTGAATATTCATTTAAAAATTCTACAAAAATATTTTGTCTGCATAAAATTCTTAAAAATATTTTAACGCCCGAAAAATCTTTATTAAACATAATAATTTATACGTGACATTTAAATAAATTATATTTTTAATAAAAGCTATGTAACAAAGCTAAATTCACTTATTTCACTTATTTCAAGTAAATCTATTAAAGCCAATATTATTTCGACCTCTTCGATAATCCAACCAGCCTTTAACTTGTTGTTCTTTAATATGTGTTTCGCTTAGGACATTGAATATGAAAATGATATTTATCGTAATTATTCTTAGGAATTAGTATTTATTTTCTCTGGAAATAAAAAGCTACTACAAAAACAAATCTAATACGCACGATTTTAGCATGTAACAGAAAATAAAACGTCCGACTTTAAAATTTCACTATAGGTGAAATAAAAAAAAATACATGTATTAAATATAATTTTGATAAATAAACGTCTTCAAGAGTCTGATTCCTCTTGACAATACAGTCCTAATGACTCTAATGACTAGATATTAATTGAATAGTCACACATTTGATTTGATAGTGCATATATACCCATAAAAGAGTTACGTTTTCGCCCCTTATTTCTCTAATTCTACGCGATGATTCATTATATTTATTAATTTAATTCCGAGCAATTATCGTACAACACAACGTTTTCTCAATTATCAAAGTAAAATTTTTTATTTCAATATACGGATTGGAACAACTGTGATGTATAAGAATCAAACCAATACCAAAAATAATTACAATTACATAACTTATTCCACAAATATTCGATAAACAAAAAAATTTGTTAACAGAAGTAAATTCAAAAAAAAAAAAAATTATAAATGTAATGCTGAAGAAATCACTCGTAAATTTGAGAATCTTTCAGATGTTTGAAACATCAATACCTTGTATAACTGAACTGATTAAAAAATATATAAATGAAATAAAATAAATAATTTAATTCTGGCCATTATTTCCAAAACATTCAGCAATTTTTTTACGTTTGAAGTTATCTGTTATATAAAAGATATACATAAATTTAAAAAAAAAAGAATACCCAAGACATTACTTTGATCTTCTCTTGAAAATTTCAATAATACATCATTTCAGAAAATAGCTTACTAGTAACAAGAATTCTATTTCATGATATGAAAACATGGAAAGTGGAAAATATAAATGTCACATAACTTTTGTCGCTGTGTTTTAGTGAAATGATTCATTGTTCATTATTTCGTTGCTTCATTTCTCTTGTAATTTAATTTTGATTCACCATAATTTAAATAAATAAAATATTATTATAGATACCTTCATATTCTCTGGTTGCAATTTTCTTTCTTCTTTCCAATTAATTATATTAATAATCCCTTCATGATAAATCAAGTCTAGTAATGATGTAAAAATTGGACAAGTTTCAAAATGGTAATAATTGAAATTATTAATTATCAAATTCATACTAAGAATCATCACGTGGCTTTGCATTTGACCAAATTCTCGTTTCATTCTTCTTTTATTCTTCTTTTATTCTTGTGAGATATTAATTAATGTCTGCTATTCATTAATAATTATTTTATTTATTTATTATTTAGACCTGCATAATAAAACTTTATAAAAACTCTTGAGGAGACCCATTAGTCATTAAAAAAAAACTTTATAAATTCATGTACAATTCAATTTCATTTTCCCAAAATTATTTCGAGTGTGATATGTAAATTAATAATAAATCGTTATATATTTTGGATTGTTTTAAATTGGCGAGTTCCCAAAAATTTTTCCAAAATTTTAGTATTATAATGATTTAATCGGTCAATTCTCAAGTTCCCGGTTCCAAAAAATATTTAAGAAATTAGAAAGTTTTATTTCGATGATGATAGAATCAATTAGACCATTATTTGAATCACTACATTAATTTACAATAATATTTTAAATATGGATTTGTCTTTGAATTCATATTCTCAACTGCAAAACTTATCGGGATTAGAAAATCTATCAATTATTGTTAATGGTTATCTAGATTGTAATTCGTTATTTTGGACTATCGTCTTCGTTTTAAAATGACAATTGGACAACTTCAAGAACTTTATATTGAAAATTTTCACGATTAATTAATTCAGATTGTTCCTTGGCTTCATCATTATTTTCATTTTAGAAGTATGCTCAAGAATTTATTGAAAAATTTTAAAATATTTGTCTATATTTATATTCTAAAATTACATTTGAAATATTTTCAGTAATTTTAATTTACTGTACAAAGATTACCAAATTAATTTAAGTCCTGAACAAGTAATAGAAATTTTTAATAATTTTAGTGAACTAAGAAGGTTTTCATTTGAGGGATTTGATGCTAATCAATTATTATCTCAAATGGCTGGGAATGTACCAGAATCACTTGAAACTATTAAAATTAGAATGGTTTATAAAGATATATGGATATTTAGTACTAGTAGTTTAAGAAAATTTTTTGAAGGGTGGCGTTGTAAAGGAAGAGGAAATAAAAAACTTAGGAGATTACTATTTATCACAATTCAAATTTGCAACAATAAGTAGTGAACATTTCAAATATTGAAGAATATGGAATTCAATTTAATGTGAAAGAATATTATAAATAATATATTCAAATTTATTATTTTCAATTACCTATTTCTGTTATATTATTTTGGTAATCATTATATCAGAGTAGTTACACTGAATCTTAAATATTAAACTAAAATTCCACAGAATAATTAATTTAATCTTCAATCGTTTCAAGATTCCGATGTAAAATTGATATACCTATACTTTGGGAATTAATTTTGGTTCAAAAATGTTATGGGAAGTTGAGGAAGAAAGCATTATGTATTCGAATTTATGTATATCATGTATGGCTTTCAAAATGGATTTGATTTATTATCAGATCAATAATAATAATAATATCGAGAAAGTTATTTCGTATATAAGATAATGAAGGGTTGTACAATAAAAATCCGGTGATTTTTTGTTAGAATTGTATGTAAACAATTTCCTTTTCAAAAAAAAAATTCCCTAATATAGCATTCCTACACCAGTCATTTTTATATAAATATTATTTAAAATTCTAATATTAATATTAATATTAATCAATTCTAATTCTAATTATAATTCTAATTATAATTAGAAGGTAGAAATAGGAGGAAAAAAATTTTTACCTCAATGAATGGAGGTTGATTAAATATTTTTTTTTATTCCTTCAAACAAAAAAAAAAAACAACAGAATCGTGAGAAGGTGACACAAATATTTATTTATTATAAATATTTATATTTTATTATTGTATATTTATTATTTATTTATTTAATAAAAAAAAATAAAAATAATAAAAAATAAATAAATCTGGAATTTTTTGTTTATTTATCTCTATATTACTATGCATAAATAAAAATAAAAAAAAATATATTCACTAGTGCTGAGACAAATAAATAAAAGAAAATGAGGTGAGAAAAAAAAACTCAAGATAAAAAAAAAATGAGGCTGGGAGATAGGAAAAAAAGATCATTAGCTACAAAAAAAAAAATAAGATATTTATATTTAAAAAAAATAAATTGATCTGTTTAAATTTTCTGTAAAAGATTTTTTTTTATTTCATTTAAAAAAATGCCCTGTAATTTAAGCACCATTTGTTATATTGATAAATATAATGAAACATCTGCACAAACAAACTTTATGGTGAATGCTGTTCTCAAGACATCAAAATATTAATATATTCATTCACATTACTGCATTTTATTCTAAAGGATCAAAAAATAATGAATATGATTTAGAAAAATTTAAAAAAGGTGATATTCATCAGAAAATTTTACAAGGCGGAAATTTGTGCAGATTTCTGAAAATGTTGAAAATTTCTGCAAATTTTCATGCATTTTTTCTGTTTTTTTAACTTCGCTCGCAATTTTCGAAGCACAGAGCGATTTTCTACTAAGATGTTTCTAAGATAGAAAGAACGGCCTTGGTATTTGCTACAAAATGGTATATGTTTCATCATTGTAGAATCGATATTCGCGAAGTTATTCCGGTTTAAAGAAAGAGTATCTGTGAAAAAAATCATGCGAAAATTTCTGGAAACTTGCGAATTTTGACCACGAAATTTTCCGCAAAATTTCGGCGAAAATTTGCGGAAATTTGCGCACGTTTTACAGAAATTTTCGCACGATTTTTTTTCACGGATGCTCTTTATCTAAACCGGAATAACTTCGCGAATATCAATGCTACAAGGATGAAACATATACCATTTCGTAGCCAAGAACAAGGCCGTCCTATCTATATTAGAAACACCTTAGTAGAAAATCGCTCTGTGCTTCAAAAATCGCGAGCGAATTTAAAAAACAAAAAAAACGCACGAAAATTTGCGGAAATTTTTGACACCTTCAGAAACTTGCGCAAACTTTCTCAAGTTTCTGTCTCATAAAATTTCCTGATTTATATCATTGTATGGTTATTCTCTATAAAAAGTTATAACTGTGAAATTTAATTTAGAATATTTATATTTCCTTATTCATGTCACTTCCTATAATTTATTTTCAATACTTCAACACAATAAACAATTTTTTTTTTTTAAAAAAAAAGATTTATTTCACAATATCAAGGCAACTCCAAACTGGTAAAGTACAAAATTTTTTATTATTTATAAATAAAAAAAAAGCCTGCCAAAACAATAATAGTAATAACAAGTAATAATTAGTATAATATATTTTTAGTTACAGTTAGGACAACTTTAATTACATACCATACTAAAAAATAAATAAATAAAACAAATCAATAAATATAATATTATTAATAATAATTGTCCATTGTTATGTCATGACAGTAATTTGGTCATCCCAGAGAAAATTAAATTAATTCATTTTCCAATTTAACAAACTTTTTTATTTGTTGAATCATTAATTAAATAAAAATTATATGAATTAAATAAAATTCTAAGTTTAAATATTGTTTATTTTTATTTATTTATTATTCACATTAGTAAAAAATATTTGTTAGTTTTTTTTAATAAACAAAAATATTGCAACATCTCACAGGAAAAAAGGAAATAATATTATGTAAAATGAGTTAGCTAACTACTATTGACACTATTGCATATGCTATAAATAAATAAATTGAAAAAAAAATTATGTGATTTACTTTTTGGCTCTTATGAACTTTACTTTTTTTTAATATTTATCAATTATTAATTGCATTAAATGTAAATTGAAATTCAATAAATATTATAACCTTTTAACAAATTAACAATTTGTATTTGTATTTTTAATAATATTAATGTCACAAAAAATATTTATCATTTAACTTGAAGAATGACATCACATGTATTCTGAATTCTTGAAATAGGATCATTGCAAAAAGATGAAAATGTAATTAATTTCAATTCATCATCCAATAATACAGAAAATGAAAATCAAAATCAATCCAACTTACTTTCCAATTCATATCTGCAATTAACCCAACTACCCCATATATTTACTCCTTGGATTCCTCAAGCAAATTTAATATACTTAAAAACAAAATTGAATCTTATATTTTTGCTCAATACCCATGTTTACCATGTTCTTACTGTGGATGAATGATGTATCCAGAAAAATCAAAATGAATTTATAAAGATAATATTCATTAACTAGAGCATATCCTAACTTACCTTTCATATATAATCCCAATCCTCCATCTAATCGAATTTCCATTTGTAATGCATGTCATAAGAATCCTATTTTGTAATTATCCCTCCTATATACATCCAGTATCACCAGAAATTGAATCCATACCATTAGCAAAAAGAAAATATCTTTCTTCAATATTCTTACACTTGTCTTTAGGATGAACCTCAGGTTCAAATTTGTATACTTCATATCAAACTATTGTTAGAACTATGGAATATTCCAAAAATTAATGTTCATTGACATTATACTCATGAATGTTAGATGCTTTCCTGGAAGATTATCAATCAGATCCTAATAATTCAAGATACAATTGGTTTGATGAAACATTAATAGCTGGTGCAAACTAATTACGAAATAACAATCCTTTTATTTTAAATTATTCAAGACTTTTTTCAAATCCCAATAATGCTCCTACATTTCCAACTGCAACACATATTGCTGATTATAAAGATGCTTCACCATTTAGATCTGGTGATATAATAATTCCTAATTTAAATTTTTCAAATGAAGTCCATAATGAAAATGCACATTATACTAGATTAATGGCAGGATTTCATTGAAGTGATGAAACTGATTTGATTTCTATATCATTAAATGATCCAGATCTTGAAGCTTTATTATTTCCAGATTTATTTCAAATGGACATGGTCATTTTTGAGAAATAATTACTGATCAAAATATATATTAATCTCGAATAGATACTTATGGAAAATATATTAAACAAAGATTATTAAATATTGATTCCTGTTTCTGATTGCATCACTACTGGCCAGCTTGGTCCTACTTATAACTTAAAAAATTATGAAATCACCAAAATACACAATGATTTTTACATCAAAAAAATACAGACAAGAATCACTGTTCACCAACTGCAATTGAAATTATTGAACAAAGTTTATACACAGAAAATTATAGATACAATAAAAAAAAATGCATCTTAATAGTATGATAACAGAATTACAAATACCTAAAATATTTATTACCTTATCAATGGCTGAAGGATCATGGACTCATTTACATGAAATCTTAAGAAAAACTGATAATCACAATGCAATTCCATCTAATTTTCCATTACATACTACATTACACTTCATTCAACAATTTCAATCACTTAAAAAGTTAATTTGAAAAAATTCTGAAATAAGTGAATGGGAAATATACCATCTCTTCTTTGAACAAATAGAATTTGAAAATAGAGGTGCAGCCCATATACATGGAGTTTATTGGATCACTTACTCAACTGAAGAAATGATCAATAAAAAACAATAAGATCAGACCTTCCAGATTCCAAGCTTGAACTAGAACTTTACCAATTAGTAATGACATTTCAAACTCATACCT